TAGCCTTAAAGCCACTTGTCTTATCTAGTTTTAATTAATGCTAATTACTATTAAGGAAAACCAAACTGACCCAGAAGGTAAAATCATGAGTACTCTCTTTACGTCATTGTTTTCTACTTTGTTTTTATTGAAATTGATTGCTGCCGCATTTTAAATAGTTTTTAACGTTTTAACTTATTAAAATATTAAATATTATTTTTTATGATGTAGCATTTTATAAAAAATTAATTCATATTGCGTTTAATTTTTATTTTCTATGAAAGTTATTCAAATAGCTAACGATGCTATTAAAACAGCTAAAAATTATCACAATATTTAATTTTACAAAAAAAAAAAAAATCGAAAGTTCTAAATGGAAATTCAACGAAAGTATTATCTAAAAACATTATCTTTGATGTGAAACCATGCTTGTTTTCTTATTTGCATTATTATTATTTATAATTCATAATTATTTATCTAAACCCACTTAAGAACTAACTAAACCAGGCCAATAGTCAAAGTGGGTCCATTACTAATGACTAAGCCCACACCCAAAAGGAATGGATGATTTATGGTGTGATAAAATGTCCCTTTAAAAGGAGGAGGGTGAGTTTGTAAAAGAATGTGTAGGACTCTGACTATGTTATTGGGACCCAATTGGGTATCACTTTCACTGATTTTGTCCCTCTTTTAGAGGTAAATCTATGTTTCATATTCTCAATTTTGTCTGTCTTACAGGACCAAACTCATTTAACTCCCTCTCCTCTCCTATATATCTTATTATTGCTTTTCTTTGTCCATTCCCATAACATGGAAGAAGAAGATTCCACCTTTTTTCATTTTCCTATTTATGTCTTTTGTTTTCTTTGTTCTTTTGCTTGAAAGTTATGTTCAATAACTCATGGGAGGTCTATTAGAAAGTCTAAAAAAAAAAAAAAAAATCCTAAAATGAGATCATAATTATTGAGATGAAGGAAAGTTTTAGAGTTTTGAAGTCTTTCAATATTTATTTAATAATAATTGATTTTTTTTTTTATTTTCCTTTAACATGAGATGAGAATTCAAGTTCTGATCATTCTTTTTTCTTTAAAAATTTCCAATCCTCTATAAGAATTTTGATGTTGGGATTTGAATTTTTTTTTTTCAAGTTTCCTTATTCCTAGTTTGGACAGTCATCAAACACTTTATTTTTGTAGTTATTAATATCGTTCTTTTATACTTGTATTTGTTTCAAATGAATGTTTTTTTTTTTTTTTTTTTTTATGTTTTTTTTTTTTTTTTTGTATATTTGATTTGTTTTATTAGTTTTTTTTAAAGAAATTCCATGAAAATGGTTGTCCTCTTAGGACTATTTGATGATGTATAATTTATCGGCAATACAAACTGGGCATAAAGCCCATTGCACTTGCCACACCGGCAATTTTTTTTTTTTTTTTTTTTTGTATATTTTGATTTGTTTTATTAGTTTTTTTTTAAAGAAATTTCATGAAAATGGTTGTCCTTCTTAGGGGACTATTTGATGGATGTATAAATTTATGGCAATACAAACTGGGGCATAAAGCATGCCACTTGCACACCGGCAAAGTTTAGTGCTTCATGCAAAAATTTTAGGGTCCCAAAAGAAGATGAAATAATTCAAAGTCAAGAAGAATTTTTCAATAGGAAAAAGTACTATTTAGTCCCTGAGATTTGTCCTAATTTTTTTGCTCCGTAATTCTATTTTGATAAAAGCATAAAATATCCATCAGATTTGATTCAAGGGTTTTTCCGTGAAAAAAATAATATTTATACCGTTAAATATTAGATAAAGACTATATTACTCTCCCACCAACCCATTAACCCTCCACCTTTTCTTTATCTTCATCTTTCTCTTTCTTTTGCAGCAACAATTCCTACTCACTGCCAGAATTTATTTTCAAGGTTGGGTTTCAAATCTACCACCAATACCTTTAAATTTCAACTCTTTCATACTCAAACATATATCATCTCAGACTCTTTTTTTTTTTTTAAATTTTATTTCACTCATTATTGATAAATTCAACTCATACAATAAACTTACAGATAAAATACAAACTAAAATTCTTTCTTTGAAAGAAAACAAGGATGAAAATAAAAACAAATTTATAATTCCAAGCTTCATCTCAACCTCCATCTCCCAATCCATTAGTCAATTCTCTTTTATTCCTATAAATCAAGAAATATAAATAATAATAATGAAGAAAAGCCCATGAATTTATAGTGAAATCCATAAAACGATCAATATAAATCTGTGATTGAATGAATCTATAATAGAGCCCATAAGGATATTAATTACCCCAGAAAAATAAAATAATAAAAAAAAGCTAATTAAAAATTCTCTAAACCTTACCCAAAAGCCTCACACCAGTTGCTTACGCCTTGGATTTGAAAATTTTCTTAAAGCGTAACGCTAAAAATTTTCTTTTTATTTTTTGTCTTTTGGAGAAAAGGTAAAAAAATAAAGAAAGGTGAAGATTACCACTTTGGTGGTGGAGGACCCAAATTCCAGTTGTTGAAGCTTTGCCAGTTGTGATTTTTTAGATCTTTGAAAATTCTTGGCTTTTGTAAAATTTTTCATATTAGATGTCTTTTTAATTGATATTTAACGATAAAAAACTCATTTTTAACAGAAGGACCATATAGTTTGATGAAATCAAACCTTAGAGATATTATATATGTTTACCAAAATAGAAGGACAGAGTAGTAAATTAGGTTAAAATGCAGGGACTAAAAAAATACTTTTTCCTTTTAAAAAAATATTCCAATTTTTTTAATTTACTTTCAACCAAATGCCAAAAATTATCACGTTTGGCAACATGTGTATCATATTTACTCTTAGCTACTGCATGTGTTACGCATAATTTTATTTTTAATATATTAAAATTTTGACTTTCATATTACAAGATAAATAACAATACTCTATTTGTCCACTTTTATATATTATTTGTTATTTCAAGAAAATTACCAAATTTTTTTTTTTAATTTTAGCATTATCACTATGTTAAAACACAATAACTATAAAGAATTGTTGATATTGAAATAACTAGATGAGATAAAAGATAATATAATCAAATTAAAATATTATGTTATAATTTAAGTGGTGTAATTGATTTTTTAGCTACCATATGTACAAAAACTTTAAACGATGGATAAAAGTGAATAAAAAATAAATTAGCATAACAATGTCTAAATCGTTTATTCAACCAAAATTAAGTTTAGCCAATCCCTAATTTTCTTAGTTGTGAACACCAAGAACCCCATTTGGTTTAAACTTTTAATGCTCTTTGTCCCTTCAAAGTTAAAGGTAAGTAAAAGACCAATAATTCTTGGTTGTGAACACCAAGAATCCATTTTCTTGAAATTCTTTGTACCTTTCTTTAATCCCATTTGCTTGGAAAGGAAATTGCTGCCTTCATCAAAGTTGAAGTGCAAGCAAAGACAAGAATCAAAATCCCTAATCACTACTTAGCAAAAGACACGGTCAAAAATTATGGGCTCCAAAAGTTAGCCAAGAATTATTAAGCCCACTTATTATTATTATTATTATTATTATTATTATTATTGTGTTGATTTATGAAAATCACTTTTACAAGTTTATATGTTCACTAAAGATGTTTTTTTATACTTAAAATGGGAAGCATAGCTTTTGTTAAAGTTGTAAACTTTTCATACTTAATTTGATTCAGCACCGTTCTTCATGTTCTTATATTTCCTACATTCACTTTGGATATGTCGGATTTTACAGGTTTGGATTTGACTTTCACCACAAAATTTCAGTTCAAATCCATTGACCATTGACCATTGCCCTCTATTTTATTTTTTCTATCTTGTTTTCAAATTTTTTGTTTTCTGTTGTTCATTTATCGATTATTATATACTACTTAACTTTGAAAAAAAAAAAACCCCAACTAATCCCAACTTAATCTAAAATTTAAATTTTTTTTAAAAAAATAGCAGAAATTCATTAATTAAGTTTGAACTTTGAACATGAATTTGCAGCTAAGCCCAACTAATGAAGCCTGTAAATTGATTTAATATTTCACAAGATATTGCATTGAAGGAGAAATGGGCCTGAGCCCATTCCATTTTAATTTCAGGTAGTGACCGTTCCATTGGTTTTTTTATAGGTAAATAACTTTTTAATCCCTCAGGTTGGGCACAATTGCAATTTTATCTCTCTTATTTGATAAATATATTGATTAGTTCATAATGTTTAGTTCTATTAAAGGGTTATTTTTACAACCTACGGATTGTTACTCAGTTGGAATGCAGGTTGAGCATATAGGAAGAGTTTTCGGGTTCCACCCGTACTAAAAGCTCCTGCAGGGAAGAGCAAAGAACCTTAATTGTAACTAGACCCCGAGCCAAATTAGGCGGTTCCTGATAATGAGATCCAGATATCGGTGGTTTACAAAAAAAAAGGGGGGTTATTTTTGCTATTAAGTGAGAGACTAAATAGTAATTCAATAGCAAAAGTAAGGAAGAGCCAAATGATCAAATATTACATGTATTTAACCTCTAAAATGACACTTTTAGATGGAAGGATCCAATAGTTTAGTGTATTTACCAAATAAGAGAAACAAAGTCATAATTATAACAAAACTTGAAGGACTAAATAGTTATTTATTCTTTTTTGTTTATCAACAGAATAATTTTCCTTATAGTCAAGGTAATTTCTTTTCCTCAAACAAGGACAGGTATTTACAGTGGAGGCAATGAGGCACCTGCCTCACTAGTTTTTTACTCTTTAATTTATGATTTTTTATTTTTTTATTTTTTTTGGAATGATATGATTTTTTTGATATTTTAGTATATGTAATTGCATTAATTTGAATTGATTTCACTAAAATTTTATTTTTCGTCCCCACTAAATTATTACTTTTATTAGATTTTCGTTCTTCATACGAGTTTTTCCTCGGATTTTTTTTTTTCTAAGACGAATAATAGCTAAACAGCCATTGAAGGACAGAAAAAAATGAATGGGAGAAGTTAAAGGGAAGAAATACATAAAAGGATATACTTGTTCATTTATATTATAGTACAAAACAGAAAAATTAGACTCAACTTCAATGTCTAACAAGATCCTCTAAAACTATAATCTTGTGATGCTTATAAACATATAAACAGAAGCAATAGAACTTGAAGAAGTCCTCATTGTTTTCCCAAAATAATAAATTAATGTACATCAAATAATCTAATTTCTACGCAAGGATGAATTGGAAAAAAAAGATCCTGAAAATTCAATCATCCTCTACTAAAAAATCAGGTTCTGCTGGCTTCTGCAGCGATCGCACTATATTAGAATCCGAAGCAGAATGCTTAATAACAGTCCGTCTAGTGCTTGCTGCTAGCCTTACAGCATATGCAGATTCAGGCTCAGCTTCTGTAGGATTTTCTCTAGCTCTAAGTTCAGTTGCTTCCTTTCTTTTCTTATATCTTCTCCAAGCTGCTTGTATGAAACACGCAGCCCATGTTCGCCATTGATGCGAGTAGAATCTGAACTTTTGTCTTAGTTGCTTGCTATGTAGTCTTCTAAATTGTGAGGCTACAAATTTCAAGTCTTCTGCTCTCAATGCAAATGCTTCAACTTCTGAAATGGCTTTGACCGTACGAGTAGATGATGGAAGGATGATGCTTGGTCGAGGGTCTAATGCCCATGTTAGCAATTCCTCTCCACAAAAATCACCAGGACCAATTCGGCATGAGTTGAAAAATCCAGTTCGACCTCCATTAGTAGTGTAAGAATCAAGATGGCCTCGGATTATGAAAAGCATTTCATTAACAAGATCACCTTCACGCACTAGAAATGTGCCTTCAGTTGACAATGCAGGTTTTAGCCTCTCACATATAGCGTCCAGCATTCTTTCATCCATTTGATCAAATAATGGGACCTATTTATTTCAAAGAGGATGCCGATTAATTACATATCCAACATATGATCTTCTTTTTCTTTACTTTGAGAAACTTTTTTCTTCCATGTAAAGGGAAATGAAAAAAAATATCAAAATAGGATGAGAAATCATATGATCAAATAACAATGCAGGATCCAGTGACTTACTCGTCGAACTAAATCAAGGCAAAGGTGGCGCTTGATGTCTCTTCGGAGATCCATCGGAAGACCTTTGAGAAGAACTTCTTCGTCAACTCCTCTGGTGGCAACCCACTTGTATTGATCATATTTCCTAACCGATTGTCTAAGCTCTGGTGGCAGTTGTCTGTGATGCATCCATTGTTCTGTGTCAGTTCTCCCTATTCTCCACTCTTCTAGACGAACTGTCGTTGATTGTAGGTATCTCTGCAAGTAGAATATTTGATAATACATATATATTCTCAAGGATTTTTATTTTTTCAGGAATTGTATGAAGCAGCTTTGAGACATAATGATATTTAATATACTGTTACCTCTTGCTTTTTGAAAGAAAATTAAGAAAGCATTAAGTTTAGTTGAAACTATAATGGCATTTTTCCTTTTGTTATTTCAGGGATAAGTTAACTAGCTAGAACATCACAATTTCAACAGGCTGAAAAGGCAGCTATAAAGCCAATAGATATAATATGAAGGCTTACCTGCATATTCCCAATGAGCAATGCAAAAAGAACCAGGCCTAATGTTGCGATAATGATGGCAAATATTATTTCACCTACATAAGTACTTGTGGAGAGATTTTGCCCTAATGAACTGCACAAGTGGATGAAAATGAGTGTTAAACTCGAACAATAAGTGCAATGAATCATTTGATAAAAGAATTAAGTGCAAATGAATTCATTTCAACCATTTATTTGTTGATTAAGCTCTTGCCTAAAAACATAATATTCCCTTTATTTTTTTGCCTTTAAAGAAAGCACAAACAAATATAAACAAGAGGTTAAACTGATAATTGTAAGAATCTGATTTTTTTTTTTTTTCTTTCCACACAGTCACCATAGTTTAACAGAATTAAGAAACATAGATAAGTTCACTTCAAAAATTGCATTTGTAGCCAAATTGAATCAGATTCTTTTTTTCATAAAATTTTTCTCTGAAATTTATATGGAGTTTCCAAACTCTTAAAATGATCCTGTATATCTCTAGCAATAAACTTTCTCTATATCCTATATGGAGCAAAATTACCTACAAAACATGGGAACACTACAAAATAGCAGAGACAGAGAGATTTAGAAAGCACATTACCTCAGATTCTTTAAGCCCCACCAAAGACAATAGAAGTATTTGTCAAAAAACGTGGCAATTGTAACACCGAATGTCAAAGAATCACCAAATATTCCAAACTGATAGTAACTATTATCTGGATTACATAGGTTTGTGACATTGCTTGATTTGAACCAGTACTCCCTAACTGGGTCATGCAATTGATGGCAATCAAAATATTCGTATCTACAAGACGCCTTCTCCAAATTACAAACACTTCTCCAACATGCTTCTTGTCGTTCAATTGCCAGAAGATACCAACAAGCTCCTAAAACCTTTTTACCGAAGAAAGTATAGAACAAGTTGAGGATTCCATCCATTAAAATATTTATAAAAATGAAGAGTTCCTTTGCACTTACATGGCTTGCTAGCATGTATAGCATCAGATTATAAGCAGCTCCTGCCCAGGCTGTTTCGGTCACGACACCATTAGCCTTAATAATTCTTGATGAAAGTGGAAGGATGAGAAAAAGTCTTGGAAGGTACTGAAAAATAATTATGAAGCGAAGTACATTTTTGGTGTTTGTCATTGTTGAACCACCAAGATTGGGGATAACAAACCAAATCAAAACCTACAAAAGTGTAAGATATGATTTAGTCCATGATAGAGAGACTAACTACATTAAGGTGAAAAATTAATTTGGCATACCTGAGGAAGAGGCAGGGCAGCAACAAGGTCGATCAAGAAATGCATTTGAAAGTACCTTTCTGCAATCTTTTTAGAATCTATAACAAGCTCCCCTCTCCCAAAAACACGAGAAGAAGGCGCAACATAAGCAGTTCTAAAACGAATGAAAATCTGAATCATGTAAAAGATATCAGCTATTGTTCTAACAATTGTAAGGGATACTTCAAGGGGTATTCCAATATGTATGCAAGAGTCCTTGGAGACTACTGGCAAGTAAAAGAATAAAGGATCAACAAACAAAGAAACTAAGCAAGCTATTAAAAAAATCTTAGTCCATCTATGAATTATGGGTCCTCGAGGGTCTAATATCTTCTTCTTTACTCTGTCATAATCCTCAGAGAAAACTCTTGATAGTACTTTAGATTTCAATGACTTTACACTCTTCTTCGTTGCCTCCTTCTCGGATTTCTTAGAACTAGACTCAGATACCTGTGTTACATCAATGTTGTATGTAAACTTACTTAATCCATCTCCATTAACTGTTGGGTGCTTGGCTAATTCAAGATCATCTCTAAACCTGAAATTTTTGTATATATGGAATCTCAGATTCAGCAACTAATTAATCCACTTACTAAATAAAACAATGAAAAGAATCACAAAAATGAAGTAGCACATGTGAAGTAATCATTTGTATGCAATCTCAAGATTAAACAGATATTTTGAAAGCCACAGTAAAAATCAAACAATTAGAAAGATGCAAACCTTACAGATCTTGAATTACCATAACCCATTGTCTTCCGGTAAAAATAGAAGAATGGCTTCAATTACTGGATTTTATCTGTAACACAAGGAGCAATAAGATGTGTGCACATATTTGGCCTAAATTCAACTATTTGTAGGTATAAAGCAGCATATAAACTGAAATTGACAAGGCATACACTAAAAGCCACAAGAGGGAAAAAGAACATACTTAGTTCCTTTAACCAGGTATCATGTGAACAAAAGATTTAAAAAATCTGCATCAACTTGGATATGAAAGCTGGCTCCAAAAGGGAAATCCCCACTTTTTTAGGGGAAAGCAGAAGTCAAACACGTGATCAATTTTCTTTTATTACTCTTTTAATCCTGAAAAAGAGTAATGAAAAAGAGTAATGGACATATATCTTTAAAGAAAAAATGTTACTTTCCTCAAATTCATTGCCAATTGACGCAAAAACATTAATAAAAGCCATTTCTCGTACATATAATATTCAATAAATATGTCACTTCAGCCCCAAAGTCTAAGTCTAGATTCAGATTCCTTAACTTACACTCAAAAACCAACATATACATCAATATAAAACTGTGATATCTTCCCTTAGAATCAAAATAACTAATCATTTTGTTTTTTACTTTTTTTTTTTTTTTTTTTTTTTTTTTTAGATTCAGATTCCTTAACTTACACTCAAAAACCAACCATAATACATCAATATAAAACTGTGATATCTTCCCTTTAGAATCAAAATAACTAATCATTTTGTTTTTTACTTTTTTTTTTTTTTTTTTTTTTTTTTTGAGAATAGTTGTCATTTTACTATTGAAAACGTTTTTTTTTTTTTTTTTTTTTTTTTTTTTTTTTTTTTGAGAATAGTTTGTCTTTTACTATTGAAACGAATCTGCTTCACAATGAGAAGAAAAAAGAAGACCTCAGGAAAACTATGAATGCTAACGGTTACCAGTATTAAAAAATAATTAAATTACAAATTTTAGAGGAAAAAGGGAACGTAACCGTTAATTCTCATTTAGAAATTTTAGCGAAAGTCAAAAGAGCATTAAACAGAGGAGACTTACAAGCACATTTCATGAAACCCGATTCCTCCTTCTTTTCTTGGTTTCTCTAATGGTTCAGACAAGGCAAGTAAAACCCAGAAATCTTTTGAAAAGCAAAACACATAAAAGAACCATTAAGAAACTAAAAATGGAAAATTTTCTATCTAGTTATTGATGAAGAATGAAAAGTTTAGGTTTTTGAAACCATCATGATGGCAAGATTTACTTCTTGTTATTCTTGATCGCTTCAAAGATGGTGGACGGTTATATACATACAGATAGAGTACGGATATATATGTGCTGTGTAAAGTGTATACAAAGAATATATATTATTTCAAGAAAAGCGGAACAATGGCGGAGAAATAAGCTGAAAGAAGAAACAAAACCGACGGGAAGAAGTTTACACAGTTTATTTGGTTTAAAAAAATTTGTGGAGTAATAACTGAAGAGGACAAAGAGACAACAACATATGAGTGTGTCCAAACACACACTGAAGTTTAATTTTCTTTGTTTTCTTGTTACAATTGGATAAGCCTCGCTTTGTACTTGTATAAGATCTATTCATGTGTAGTATTTTATTTTTAATCAATAACCAAAAACATATTTATTTTTTTATCAATAAGTGTTGCGAAGAGAGATTGGATACTTCTTCCTCGAGTGAAGTTGAGGATGCTCACTGCAAGCATTTGAATTCTTAGTCGGTGGATGCGGTGGAAGCAAAATTTTTTGTCTAGTCCAATCAAGTAAGAAAATTCTAACTTTCAAAGAATCTATTTGACTCGTTAGATACTCTTAGCAATCTTGTACTGACACGTGCACGTCCAGTGATGTGTGTGCAGCCAATGACCATCCTTCTATTCCAAGATTTTCCATTTCATTAATAATGATAAATGATTTTTTTCTTTTTTTTTGGAGTCATTGAGAGAGAGACGAGGGATTCCAATCTGGTCTCTATATTTATTTATCCATTAAACTATGTATTGGTCTTTCCAAATAGAAATTAATATATAATACTATCTCTTTTTCCATTTTATATGTGATTTAGTTAGTTATAAGTATAGAATATTAGTTTAGATTTTTTTTTTTTTGCCATTTTTTAAGCTTTGAATTTTAGTTAGGGTTTATTAAAATTATAATTAAGTTAGAAATTAGGATGTTATTACGACTAATGTCGAAGTTCATGGTACTAGGAGAAAAAAGTTAAACTTAGGATTCAATTAAAATAACCAGCAAAGTTTGGGATTGTTTCTAACGATTTAGCCCTAAAATATAAAATGTTTAAGGTTTTTGCACGAGAATTAAGGAAGTAATTAATTCTCGTAAATTATAATAAAATCAAGGGTAATTATCACAATATTAAGAGTAATTCGTGAAGATAGTTATTGTGTCTAATTTAAATAAAGGTAAAATGGAAAAAATTCATTTATTACTTTTAAAATACTCAAAAACGACTTATATTTTGAAATGGAAGGAGTACTAGTTGTTAGATTCCTACACAGAGGAACTAAATCAAGATTAGATGAAGAAATTAGGTGTGAACTTAAAATACTATATAGCATTTCTCTCTATATATAAAAGGCATAGAATTCAAAACTCAATGCTCCCTTGGTTCCATTTTAATAGTAACATTTGATCTTTTTATAATGATTAAAAAAATTATTGGAATACATTGATTTTCTAAAAATATATGATGAAATGTCTAAATTACGCTTCTTAAAATAAAATCTATCCATTTAATTTTATTAAAAAACACCTTCCAAATATGGATAAAATTAAAAAAAAATTATTAATATATTCTCAAAATTCTAAATAAATATTTAAAGTGAAACAAGATAAAATGTTTATTTATTAGTATTAAAGTAGATGGGAGAGCCTACTAATTTATTGCATGGTAACATATACTACATGATTGTGGATTAGGGCACTTGTCGGTGATGGCTAATCTGAGTTATTTTTTAATTAATTAAAGTATTAATTAGCAAGTTTGCATTGAAGGAAAGAGGTGTGGTGCGGTGGAATTTATCAATCATTTGACAGCAAAAGCTGGCTATTGCCCTACGTGTGCGTGGCCTCTTCTCTTTTGATGTACATTTTTAAGTACAGGTCCTCGTTCGGAATTTTTAAGATAGACCCAAAACCAAATTGCCATTTAAAATCCTTTTCTACATGTCTTCTCTGGATTGCCGTTTAATTAATTATTCTAAATAAATCTTGTGTGAAGGTTAAAAAATAAGTCAAAAGTGAACCGATACTAAATTATTATTGCATCCAAATGAAATTTCGTTTTGGATGAGTTCACAAATATTTTTTCATGCTTAATTTATAAATTTATAAATTTAAAAGTTAATCTTAGTTTCATATAATATCTCCAAATAAAATTTATTTATTCTAGGTTTAAATGAGATTAAATCTTATCATAAACGTGTTTAATAAAAGTGTCATATATCAGTATATTGTTCATTATTTTTTAATTTTTTTTAATTAAAATAATTATTTTAATTATTTTTTTTTTATTCGTTTACATATCCAAACAGACAGACCCTGTGCTTGCATTAATTACAAATTAGTTATTACATCAAATCACCCAATTTTTGAATTCTTCACACTCACAGCCTGGATTTTATGGGTCCAAGTACCAATGGCCTCTCCTACACGTGCTATGAGAACTATATCCTTCTGATATATTTATTTACCACTTTTCTCCATCTGTCAACTCAAACCAATAGTATAATAAGCCATGACTTAATTCATAGCAAATAATAATAACTGATAACCATTAATTAATAAATATTAGTATTTAATAATAGTAACAATTGTTAAAATATAAAATAATCATTAAAATTAGATTTTATATAATAGTAAACAAATTTGTTAAAATATAAACATAATCATTAAAAGTTTAATTTTATATATATATATATATATATATATATATATATAACATATAATTTTTAAGATATATAAATATAATTTTTAAGATGAAAAGTTTATTATATATAAAAGTTTGGTTTCGGCTCTTCATTTTCTAAAACTCTAATTTTTTTTTTTATTTGGCACAAAACGCGCGAGGTGAGATAAAACCATCAAAAGATTCTAGTTTTGAATCTGTAAACAAAATAGTAAAGAAAGAAAAAAAGTCTGAACTGAAAACAAATTAATACTAAACGAACTGTAATCATTTACAGCGTATGTACTTCAACTAATAAGAAGTTGCTAAATTCCTACATAAGCATTTAACAGAGAAATGCTGAATGGAAATCTGAACCCAAAATTTATCCATGAATAATTAACTTAAAGAACAAATGGGCTGCAAAAATACACAAGCAGCAAGGAGAAAGCCAGGAAAATTTTAATGTGATGGTTAAGTGAAACTTGGGCAAATTCCAATCTGAAAAATCCTGCAAACGCCATAAATTATGTCTTCAGAAATGGGGGAAAGAAAAAGGAGGTGAAAAACAAGGATTGATTAGTGGCTAAAGAGGTATGACCTACAATAGATTGGCAAAATTGCTATTCATGGTTTCTTTCTAATCTTGTGAGGATGAAGCAGCCTCTTTCAAACACGATCTCATTATTGTTGCAAGCTTCGAGCAAGCATCAAGGCAAAGCTGCATTGCCTGTTTGTAAAACCAAAAATTAGTACAGCTAAATCACAGAAGCTGCATACACCATATGTTGCTTAAAGTTAATGTGATATCAATGATAAATATACTGGCAATTTAATAGATATACCTCATTCATCTTTGCAGCAGACCATTCCCCTGTAACAGTAAGCTGAGTGACCTCATACCGGGAAGGCATACAAGTAATCATAAAGCTTCCATCCTGACAGCTTTCCTCTTCCAAAATCGGATCAATGATGAGGTTTGTACCAAGACAGGACTATGCACCAAAAGAAGTTAATGGCTAGCGCATGTGCAAGTTGGACAAAAGGAACTCAACATCCAAGTGCAAGGGATTAAAGCAGCTAAATTTATCTTAAACAAAAATGGAAAAGGAGAAAAAAGAAGGCATAAAGTAAAAGCATTTGTAGCTTTGAACCACTCCATTCTAGAAAGGTTTTGACCATATAATGAGTTCTATAGATTGAAAGATCTTGACAACACTAGATGCAAAAGAAATATGCCAATGTGCAACAAATTTAATGTAGCCACTCAATTTCCACTCTCCATCATCCTGTTCAATCACATATTCAATAAAAAAAATACCAGCAGTTAGAAATGAAATTGAGAACTTCTCTTGTTGGGGAGATTGACACCCCTCTGGTCCTCGTGGCTCCACCACTATGTATTCTCCAAAGTCCAAACAGAGAAACACTAGAGCTAGAAGGCTATTTAAAATCCAGTTGACAAATTTACTACATGAAGTCACTTATTATAGTCAAGGGACAGTGAAAATGAAAAAAATGCATGCAAAAATGGTGAAGATACAACCGAATGGTATTAAGTTGCTTGCATCAGCAACAAGAAGAACAATTATATCCATGAACTCAATCTCTTCTTGGCTATGAATTATGATCCCTAAGATGGATTAAGCGTTATACAGAGCTGCACATAGTGTGGAAGACGATGAAAACGCACAGATAAAGCATCAGAATCACAATAGAGGATTTTAGGTGCTAAGGGACTCCCTTTTTTCCTGATGAGGAATGTGAATTGGTAGGACCAAATTAATTGAGTCAGTAACAATAAGAACATAACTGTTTGGAACTATTGAAAGTTTTAGTTCTCTGTTAGGTAGTCAAAAGTTGTTTTAATAATTTGCATCAGACATTAATCAAACAGACTAAGTAGATGAACACTATTAAGATATTTAAACAATGCTAAGGTTCTAAGAATATCAGCGCGTATAACTATGTGATGTTAACTTTATGCTCAACACAAACAAGAAGTGTTAGAAAAACAGAAGCCTGTCCAGGATGCATACCACTGAAACTCCCGCAACAAGATCATACATCATAATCCCTGCATCAGCCAAGGCAAGGCTTGCACAAGATATTACAACAGGAATATCACCTGCAAATGAAAGGATGGAGCCCATTGATGAGTTCAAAGTCAATTAACTTTTTCAGCATCTTACGTTTTACCAATTATGTGAAGCAACAGGGCACAAAATTGCAAAGAAAGTCCTAGATAAAAAATTAATAACTATTAAGGCTTATACGTTATCAAACTTAAACAGAAAAGCAACAGTGCCAATATCAGTTTGGTGCTTAAAGACAGAATATTGTGATATCCAGCAGTAAGCATACTACACTATCATTCCTTTGTGCAGGAATACAACTGGAGACAAATTTAAATTTTCTAACTTTCCTTCACCCTTTTATTTTTTCAGAACTTAAAAAGGCCAAGATTTAAAGGTTAATTTGAAGCTGTAACTTACTGCCACCAGATTCCAACACCAAAGCAAAAACATCTACAGTTGTCTTGGGGAAAGTTTCCAACATTATTGCACCTTCCAAAGCTTTATGAAGTACTGAAGAAAATTCTTTATGGTCTGATCCCTAACAGAAAAAAAAAAAAAAAAAAAAAAAAAAAAAAATTTTGTCAGAACTTAGAAAAGGCCAAGATTTTTAAAGGTTAATTTGGAAGCTGTAACTTTACTGCCCACCAGATTCCAACACCAAAGCCAAAAACATCTAACAGTTGTCTGGGAAAGTTTCCAACATTTATTGCACCTTCCAAAGCTTATGAAGTACTGAAGAAAATTCTTTATGGTTGGATCCCCTAACAGAAAAATTAATAAAAAAAAAAAAAAAAAAAACATATATATCCTCGCAATTAGACTACCAAAAAAAAAAAAAAAAAAAAAAAAAAAAAAAAAACATATATATCCTCGCATATTAGATACCAATAACTTGCAAAACAAAAATAGAAATGTAAAACATCATTAGATGACTTCATCTCATATACCTCTCCACGGATTGGGCTAGCAAAAGTTGTATAGCTCACATTACAATTCAACCGGCCTACGTCACTATACATCATTGCTTTCTTACTTTCTCTGGGCCCAAATCTGAACCAAGAAAGAGCAGTAAAATATAAAACATGTTTCTATTGCATATCACTGCCAGAATGAGTAGCTAGAATATAAGTCCATATTATCAACTTATCAATAAATTGGCAAAAGAAATTACAGATAGAAAACACAAGAGATCAAGAAGAAGATGATATTCACAAGGGAAACCATTTACTTACACAGACACAATAACCTTTGTATTTCCAAACTCAGCATAAGCTGATCCTGCAGCAGCGTTCACAGCACCAGTTCTGAAAACTGCAAGTGAAAAAAAAACTTAATGATCTTTCAAGTAAATCACAGCAAAACCACACAACCACTCATGTTTGTGTGTCTCTGTGTGTGTGTGTCCAGCAAGAAGATAATAGAAAAGGTGTATTCATGCACCTACATTCTTAAAAAGGAAAAACCAATACGGTTTAGCATCTATCACAACGTAAAACTGTTCACAAAACATGAGACTCACTCTTATCCATGGCATTTTCACTCAAATACTAAACAGTGGATCCTCAATTGGAAAAGGAGACTGAAGGGGAGAACAAGTAAATAATCGACAATCTATGAGGATCCTACGTGCAAAAGGCAAACAACTTCCAAGCAGCAGCATACTTTTATATGTGAATACAAAAGGTCAAGTTTCTAAGAAGGATTTCTGCTAGTAATAGATTTAAACTATCCTGGAACAAATGATAAACGAACAAGGGAGCAATCCAATTGCTATTCATACAAATAACACTTCGAAACAACCAAAATACAGCATCCTTTAGAAAGTAATTAGATTTGAAAGTGGAACACAAAGATGGCAATAACAAAGAGCGATATGCATGATCCATATAATTTCATTCAATATTTAGGAGCTTTGTTAAGTATTGTAACAAATGAAACTCCAACAAGCAGCCACAATCATTGGAATACAAAAACACACCTACTGTTTATAATCTTGAAACATCTCAGCCATCACATTATGGAAAAAAAAAATAAAGCAAGATAAAACAACAGAGAAATAGCTAAGACATGTAATGTAACAAAAGTTTAACAGACAATCAATCAACAACATATGTTGATTGAACTTGGATATATGTATCAAATACATATTCATTAAGACTCAACTCAGGTAACTTTAGGTTTTTCATATTTTTTTTCCCTTACTTTTGGACAATTATATCAAAGTATCCATGTTCATTTTAACGTTTAAGTGTTTGATTCATGTCCAACAAGGACACACTATGGCAAAGTGAAGAGTTGGAACTACAGAAACACATTAGGGTGAAAGCATAACGCAGAGTACAAGACAGATCAAAATCCCGGAGTAAAATTTTGGCACAAGAACAAGTGAACAACATTCTTAAACAATTTTCTCAAAAAAAAAAAAAAAAAAAAAAAAAAAAAAAAAAAAAAAAAAAAAATGTCGCATGCTAACTACAAGATCAAAACTTGAAGGAAGCATTAAACCTCTTGTACACTTAAACATGCACATGAGACTTATTAAATGAAATATATTCCTTGTAGATGTACAGATAATTCAAATGACTAAACCACAACTACAAATACAAGTGGTTGTCTACCAATAATACATCCAGAAACAAAAAGGAGAAATAAAAATTCCACGATGTCATTCAAAAAAAAAAAAAAAAAAAAAAAAAAAAAAAAAAAAAAAAAAAACAGAAAGACCCACGTTAATCCAATCAACCAATTATGTGAACCAAACACACAAGTAGAACATAATCAGATAATTGAAAACCAAAATAAACCCGAGCAGAAGAACAAAAACACAACTTTATAGCAGAACTACTTGAGAATATTGCATGTGCTCATTGTTCACTCTACTGAGAGATAAAGCAAACATAACATAAGGGAAAAATATACAAGCAAAACCCCAATGAATTCTGCAAATACCCATATTGAAAAACTGACCATAGACAAAAAATATCAATGAAAAAAAAACAAAAACAACGAGTGGAACAAGTAACAGGGAGTGATCAAGTACTGAAAAGAGTACAACAAAAGTAAGCAATCGATGTCTCAAAAGAAATATCAAAAAAACAAAATCAATTCTACTAAAATATCATTAGAAAACCATTTGAGAGAGAGAGAGAGAGAGAGAGAGAGAGAGAGAGTACAAGCGGGTCGACACTGGTGGAAGCCGCGGCCGTCGGGACGGACCCAATCAACATCGGAATCTTTAAAAATGGGAGGCCGGGATTTCAGCGGCGGAGTCGGAGAATAAGTGGTCGGAGCTAAACCAGGTTTGGAGGCCATTCTTTCTCTGTTTCTTACGAGTTCTAAAGGTTTTCAAGTGAACTGTGCGCTTTTGAGAACTTTGCTGAGTCGTTACAGGTTTTTCGTCTCCTGTATTTTGAATGACAAACGATGTCGTTACCGATTTAAAGGGTTCATTTTATCATTATTATAAATTTATAATTATATTATTGGGAAGGAAATTTGTGATTAATGTTTATAAATTTCAAACACCAACATATACGGCTGCACTAAATTGAGTTGAGATAGTTGATTCTTAAAATTGTTTAAACAAAATTTTAAGTTAATACATAAATGTTCTCCATTTATATTTGATTAATGGTATTCAATTTAATTATTTTTAATTAAATATAATCATTGCTAGCTTAAAAGTGATTATTCTCTCATTCAACTGTTAAATAGAAGATGAGGATATTCACGAAAAAAATAAAAAAAAAAGATATTGTTGATGGAAACAAATTTTTTTAAATACAAAAAAAAAGGGTGTATTTTTTAAAATTATTTATGATTATTTTCTTTCAACTAATTTATTAATTGAAGAAAAAATAATTGCATAAATAGATGTTTTGAGCCAAAGAATGAAAATTTTGTTTAGGGATTTTATTATAGTTGCTTTTTTGAAATATGTGATTATTTCTTTTACCAATTTTGATTTTTTGTTAATTCTATTATATTTTCGGTAGTAAACGCTACATCAAATCTCTACTTGATTGTATTTGACAATTTTGACAAAAAATCTAAAAAAATTGACAAAAAGACTGAGGAATTGAACGGAGTTGAAAGTTAAAAACGTAATTTTTTTTTTAATTCACTGGAGACTTATATGAGCCGAGATAATACTACGAGCTACACAACAGGAGATATTTTTCTTTTGACTCATCAAATTAGTGAAAACTGTAGTTGAAACGACTCTAATTTGAGACATTCTACTCCTCACATAAATGAGAAGAGCAACCAGACCACCACCTGATTAGCAACGTAATTATATATTTTAAAAGAAGCAAAAATGAAGTGATGTATTTAATCATAACCAAGGGACTAAAAAATAATTCTCCTTTTATAAATTATATTACCGGAAAAGAAATTTGTGATAGTATATGACTACACTAAATTGATTTGAGAGAGTTGATTTTTAAAATTGTTTGAAACAAAATTTTAAACTAAGACATAAATATTCTTGATTTATATTTGGTTAATCATAATGTAACAAAACAAAATATAATTACTTTTAACTATACATAATTCCTTCTAATTTGAAAGTGATTAGTCGACCATCCAATTGTTATATGGAAGATGGAAATATCAATGGAAATTAAAAAAAAAAAAAACATTTCTTAAAAATATAAATCACTTATTTTATTTTATTTTTTAGTATTGAAAGTGGGGATTTGAACCTGGATCTTTGCCAATTGCATATGGACCTACCACTAATTTATGAATTAAAGAAAAAAATATAAAATAAGTTTGAAGGCTGCTCTGCATTTCTCATCTTCAAATTGGTCCATAATTTGAAATATATTTGATATAAAATTCTATAAATGCTCTTTTTACATATAAAGGAAGTAACCTTTGTAACAATAATAATTATGCAACCAAACACAGACAACTTCCATTGTCAAACTTTTAACAAAGAAAAAAAAATTGAGAAGCTACATTAGTGGAGTTGCAACTGTGATTCAGCTCTTAAAGACAAATACAAACAAAGAAGAAGAACAAAAGAAAAAAAAAACAATGGCAGAATTTTCAAACTCCATGAATGCAACTCAAGAATACCTTGAATTTTTTTAACATAAAAAGCTTAATCATCAAAACATATACTCCAATTTTCATTTCAAATACACAAATATTCCAAGAAAAGGAAAGTAATTGAACCAAAAAAATTGCATCTTCAAGGAGGAGGAGGCCCAGGTTCAAATAGTGGAGGACAGCAGCTTGTAAACAGACCACAGCAACACAGAAACCATAAACTGCAAAATAGTAATTAAAAAAAAGAGAATCTTATAGAAACTAAATAATAAGCTCAAATTTTAGATCTCATTGTTTCTTGATATTAGTCAATGAAATGAAACAACATAAGGGTTTTTTTTTTTTTTTTTTTTTTTTTTTTTTTTTTTTTTTTTTTTTTTTTAAAAAAAGAACACCTTACCATGAATTCTAGGATCCTCCACCAGCCGGTGCCCGGAAGGGAAGAAGAAAGCAGTGGCATGTACTTGGAGGTGTGGAAGGTGGATCCATTGTGGTTTTGACCTAAAAATGATTGACTAATACTTTGTGCCCTGGTGTGTTGGAAAATTTTTTTTTTTTTTTTTTTTTTTTTTTTTAAAAAGAACACCTTACCATGAATCTAGGAATCCTCCACCAGCCGGTGCCGGAGGAAGCAGTGGTGTACTTGGAGGTGGAGGTGGATCCATTGGTGACCTAAAATGATTGACTAATACTTGTGCCTGGTGAAAATACCTCTGTCCAAGAAAGGCAGATAGATAGCAATAATGTAGATATAAATATGTGCACACTTTCTTCAAGTCATAACCTCAACTACCATTCAAAGAGTGAAAAAACAAGAATTGCAAATTGGAAATCCCAACTAACAAATAAACAAAGACACCTAATCGGATTGCTTTACTTACCATGTGTTTTTAATTCAATTTGCTTGATTATGGTAGTTTCCAACAGAGTATTTGAATGGCTGCAGAAGGAATTCCTCATTTTACCTTGGGCTGTTCAACTACAATGTGTGAACTTATTATTATAATTTGTTTTACAAAAAAAAATCATTTCATTACCATTTTAATTAATCAAACTATTAGGTGATGACATTTATAATTACATTAAGTTTATGTGAGAATAAGGATCAAAGCATTTAGATTAAATTGAATCAAATGCCTATTAACGACTCTGAGCAATGTCTCTAGCAAGACTAACAATCAAATAGAAACAAAATTCTACGTTTCTTTTTTGTTTCCCTCATTTAAAGGTCCAATTTTGTTGTCAATCAGATGGCGATTTGGTTGGTCTTCTTGCTTATGTGAGGAATGAGAAGTTTCGAGTTAAGCCCTGTCGAATACAATTGTTTTCACCGATTTAAGTTTGTCCCCTCGTGTAAGAACATCAATTTACAGCTGATCATTTTAATCACAAAAATTTTAAATGAATATCCTTACCGTACAAATTTTGGTGCAAGATGTAACCATCAAGCCAAAAATCAATCGAAGATTAAAAAAAAAAAGACTAGCTATATGAATTCTCTGCAGTTATCTTTTACTGTACGAGAAAAATTAAATACAGTCAAGTAAAGATTTAAGAATCATCCTGAGATCTTTTTCCTATTTTTTGTTTTTTGTTTCTTTTATAACTTCAAAAGAAGAATAAATCTCTAATGAAAAAGAAAAAGATATAACTTGCTTTTTTCCTCTCTATTTAAGAAAACAAGATACCTTGTACCAGAAATCTGCATAAAGCTAGATCAAACACTTTTGCTTTTAATCAGCTAGTTTGTCAGGGAGACTTCACATTTGCCATGTGGAATGTTTCAAACCGAGGTTCTGTTAAATCCACAGCTTCATCATCTGTCGCGCGCCAACTCCGAGCTTTAGAAGTCAAGAGGATCAACCTTTCTATATACTCGGCCGAAATTATATCTGCTTCTCTAGTATTGTGTCCAATGGAGAAAGTATGTTTAACATCTAATGGCATAGAACATACAGTTGATTGTTTGGCTGACATGTCTCGTCTCAGCTCTGCTGCATCAGCTCGACTTTCTGGTTTTTGTATATGCAGCTCAGTCTTCATGCTTTGTCTGGAAGACATCTGAATGTCTGCTTCTTTAGTGTTGTGTCCAACGGAAAGACTACGCTCAATGTCTAATTGCATAGAACATACAGGTGACTGTTTGGCCGAGATGTCTCGTCTCAGCTCTACTGCATCAACTCGACTTTCCGGTTTTTGTATATGCAGCTCAGTTTTCATGCTGTGTTTGGAAGACATCTGAATGGCAAATGAAGCATGTTAAATTTGTTTGATGTAATCAAAGTTGCATATGCATGTGGCTGAATTACCATTTGAGGAAATTTCGGATAATATTTACAGTACACAATTATAACCATTAAAAAAAATTACCAACTAAAAAAAATGTACCTGTTAGGTTAGCTATGAAAGTTATATTACCTGAAAGAGATTTACAGGGATGTTTCTCCTCCTAGATTTATCTGCTGCAATAGTTGAGAGGATTTGTACAACCTCACTCATAGATGGCCGTGCATCAGGATCCATCAGCAGGCATTCCTTCGCTAGGTAAGCCATTATTTGCATTTCTTCTTCAGGGAAATTTCCTTTCAAACGTGGGTCAGGCAATTCGGATATTACTCGCCTACTGTCCTGCAGACGAGGAGTAGCCTGCAAAAATGAGAAGTGCAAACCATATCAGTAATATTATTTCCAAAACTGTTTTGACTTGCAAATTGTTTTCTTAATGAAACAAGGTCATGAGACAATAATACAAGTAATGGCCACTTTCCCTGCGTGCGCAATGCCAATACATAGAACCAAACATGAAAACAACAGTAATTTTTTGTCTACTAAAGAATTTATGATAGTCTGCAAAGGATACATGCTGTCAAGTTATTTTGACCGCCCCAGGAAAAGTAAAGGGTAAATGCATGCGATACAATGAAGATGATTTACTTTACCCATAAGACAAGGCTTTCTTCTCCTTTGCTGGTTGATTTATGGATGGGTTGTCGACCGGTAATAAGCTCAAGGAGAACTACCCCAAAACTGAAAACATCTGACATGAGAGAGGCTCTCCCAACCATTGCATATTCTGGCGCAAAATAGCCAAAAGTGCCCTGCATTCTTGCTGGAGAATTGGAACTGCTTGGAACACCGTCAGCTTCTAAACGTTTTGCCATACCAAGGTCGGTAATCTGCAATTGCAGTTCACAGTAATTACAAATGTCAACCAATTGCAAGACTTTTATTCAATCAAGTTTAGAATCAGGGGGGCAGGTACTGGATTTTTAAATTAGTATATGGTTTTAAACATTTTATAGCGTATACAATCACATTAATTTGAATTTGCTCTATTAAGTTTTAACCTTTTACCTCCCACTAAATTATTACTTTTATACATTGCACACACTAACCAAATATTCCATTTCTGGCCCTGTTCACAATCCTACTAAGAATTAATATCCATAGCAGATAACCAATATATAATATTCTTACTTTTGCCCTCCAGTTATCATCAAGGAGGATGTTTGTGGATTTGACATCTCTGTGCAAAATTCTTGGAGCAGCTGCTTCATGGAGATACTCTAAGCCCCTGGCAGCTCCGATTGCAATTGTAACACGAGTTTCCCATTTCATGCTTTCTCCCAAAACTCCATCCATACAATCCCTCAAGTTACCATTAGGCATGTATTCAAAGACCAGCAACTTCTCAGAATGTTTCCCTTGGAATTCTGAGCAGTAGCCAAGCAAAGGCACAACATGACAATGATGAAGTCTTGATAACACTTCAACCTGAGCAATACAACAATGCGTTTAAAGGGAATATTTTGGAGAAAAAAAGTTCTCTTATTTCCAATTCAAGACAGGAATGGAGAGAAGTCTGTTTTCTTAATCAACATATTAAAAGTAACGGAAATAATAAAAACCTCTTTTGAAAAGAGAGAATCATCATCAAGTCCTCCCTGAGACTTAAGCCATTTAATTGCCACAATGTTACCATCTCTAAGCTGACCACGATATACATAACTGCATCCACCAAGACCTATAAGATTGGAATTGGAGAACTTATTGGTTGCATGCTCTAATTCAGAGTAGGAAAATCGGATTATGGCACCACGTATGATGTCTGAATTGCTCTTACACAATAAAGAACCCTTGCCAAAACACACTGAGAAGGAAACAACTCATTAAAAAACTGAACAATAAGCGGTTGAGAGGCCAAAAATTGATTAGCACGAAGTCGGGCTAATCACATAAAACGTTGTAATCATAATAAATGCCCACCTACCTGAGATAGGATTCAAGGGGGAATCAATAATAATTTTGGTTTCTGAAAGTGAAGATGCCTTGCGACTTATTAAGTTAGCAGCACTGTTGAAACTCGTTTCTCTGTCTGATGAGAATACTGGTGGCTGGATAGGGCACTTATCTTTTCTGTAGACATACCATGTTACGGAACCGAGAAAAGCAAGTGTTGTTAGTATGACGCAGAGCAGCAGAATGATGATAACAATTTTGCCAGAAAGGTGATTTCTTTTAGCTTGTGTTTGCGTAAGGGATCCTGTTTAGAAGAAAGTATATTGTTTAGAATCAAGTATACAGATTAAATCTTACCACTAGCAAATGACCAAGTGTAGATACATGGATTAACACACATGAAACAGATGATATAATAACTAAATTATATAACAAGGTTGATTCTTGTCCTAAAAAGGGAATATGAAAAGCATGATAACAGGCTATAACTCTTTGTCTCTTCCAAAGGCAAGCAGCTCAACCAAGAAATAAATCCGGGCTTTTATCTTGGAAAACAGCACCTAATACAATGCACAATACTAACAGACTGGACTTTTTTTTTTGAATAAGGAACAGTTTATTTTGTAATATTATACACAGTTATACCACTTGTATTATATTTCTCATACTAATACAAATAGAAAAGCTGCCTATAGTCAAAGGCAGTTTATTGTATCTTGTAATTTTATACCCTTTAGTACACTTGTATTATATGTCTCATATTAGTACAAATAGAGAAACTGCCTATATTCAAAGGCACCCCATTCGCTTTTATAGAGAAAAAAAAAAAAAAAGAGAAAAGTACCAGAAGTGCAGTTGCAGGCTGTAAAACAGGCAGTATCATGACTACCAGAAGCTATTTTAGGAAATCCATCGGTGGCACAAATACATGTCCATGTACTTCCACTTGGTCCTCCAGATGCTGCATAAAACCAAGCCAGTTAAGAGATACAAACAATAAATATAGTTGTCAATCATGACAAAAATATGAAAAGTTAATTTCATAGAAGCACAATGCATGGACATTTTCCCACAACATGTACAGGGGTTTTATAATTTCAGGATATCATGGTAGTAAGGCAACTTTTTCTTCTTTATGGTTTGCCATACCTAAAGCTTGGCTATTTACAGATTATTTCTAATAAGCTTTACAGGGGGCTATGGATTCACAAATTCAAGCCTCGACTTTTTTTTTTGGGGCACTATTTCCTAGGTCAAAAACTTTTTTTTAAGATTTGATTTGCAGAGGATATTTTCATAAATGACAATTATTTATAAAGCAATGAATTTATTTTCTGCTAAACATTCAGCAGTAACTATCATATGGCAATACTAACACAAAACTTCTTGATAAGTATATCACAATCAGCAGCATACCTCTATTGCAATCACAGGATTTAGAACAGTTAGATTTAAGATAACTCTGATTTCCTTGATAGGACAGTGAACAAGTACATGTCCAATTGCTAATGTTGGAAGTCGTGGAAAGTTCATCTGCATCTCCAGTTAACCATAAAACAAAGTTCAGTGCACTTATATGGATGGTAAGAATTACAATTCTTACCCATTCATAATACCCTTCACGTTGTAAAAGGTTAGCATATTGCAACTGAAAAGGTAACTTAACCTTATGAAGCTTTTGTTATAACATCTTTCCTTTGGGAAACGTGAAAGATAACTTTCTACTGCCCAGAAATCTCCGAACAAACACCTTCCAGTTTCTGGTTCAATTATAAATGCACGTATAGTCCAACTTCTTCATAAATCTATTGCAATGGAAAAGTTAACTGGAACATGTTTGACCGGAGATATCCACGCTAGCTAGTCAACGTAACAGAGAGGGGAGAGGTAAATGGGGTCCATATTTTTTATAATTTAAAAAAAGAAATAGAAAGCTTAAACTTGATACTAACCGCAAAAACCTTGCTGAAACCAGATCAAAGCAATGAGGCAAGCAAGGACAACTTCCACTTGAAACTTCATTTATATACTAGCCATAAGACCAAAAATTGCCCAGTCAATTCTCTGTGCCAACCTAGAAGAACATCTAATACTAGTTCAACATATTCACAGTTGAAATATTGAAGAATTAAATAAATTCATTATTAAAAATTAACCAACAAAAGGAAAAAAAAAAAAAGAAAAAAAAAGAACTCGAATGGAAACCTTCATTAGGAGCTGGGATTTGCTCTCCAAACCTCCTTGATATTAAACCCTCCAATCTGCAACAGAAATGCAACAAAAGCTTAATGAAAACCGGTAGTAATTCAGCTCAACTAAAATATACAATTTGAGGAAAAAGACTAGTGCTTTAAATTTTTGTAAAAGTAAAGAAATAAGAGTTTCAACTGATTAGCAAACTACATGCTGCTTGCTAACCCCCAATCAAGAAAACCAAGACAAATGGTGCAAATTAGATAGGAATTGGAAAATCCATGGTTGGTCAACAAACATGGAAGCTTCCAATTATTTTCCATAAACATTGCAGTGCAAACTATACGAGCAAGATACAAAGCAACAGAATACCAGATTATAAACTCCATTATGGTGCCAATAGGCCAAATCTTGTGATAAATGCTCTAAGTTAATTATTGATCGTATACAGTTCTCAGAAGTAACATCTAATAAGATGGTTATATATAACTATAGGCCTTAGATGTAAAGATAGACTGAAGAAACAAAGACAAGTAGACAATTCATTAAAGGAGAAACTGCCATAATTACACATTAAGTAATTAGATAAATGCAAAGGCAGTCCAGACGTAACTCCATAAACCAAATAACAACCTGAATTTAACTCCTCAAACCATATATAACCGCATTAATGGAGAAAAAAAAAAAAGAAGACCTACTAAAGTAAATAAATTACTATTATTCAGTAGAAGCTTTAGAGAGTAACATACAGCTTCATCATTATTTTTGAAACATAGCTATTATCAACAAGCATCTAGTCAAAGCTCAATATCATGATACCCTTTATCTTCTTGTACGGGAAACTTACAAACAATTCATCAATAATCGTTAACATAACCTGAATAGATAAGCCAGTTCAATCCGAACTGAATTGCATACAATAAATTGAAGTGAAAGCTAAACCAAGCAAAACACACAGAAGGAAGTTTCAAGAATGGATAACTCCAAAATGCGGAAAAAGAAAAGTCAATCACAATTCGATTATATCATCAGCCAAGTTAATAAAGTCCAAAAGCGAAATGGGAAACAGACACTTGATAATACCATATAGTAATGGTAGATAGAGACTAGCAGATTAGCAGTGGTTTTTTCTTTAGACTAAACAAAAAGAGAAAAGAGGAGAAAAGAAACAAACCCATCCACCACACCTTCTTGATAGGAACATAATTGCAAACACGAATAGACCTTTCAACCATTTTCAGAATAGCTAATCGCTAAAGTTTAGAATCTAACAAAAACCCACAATTTGGTTATGCTAAAAAAAGAAGACATTCAAAAAAAAAATTATTTTAGAATTTGAAATTCTTGAAACATCAAAATAGCAAGTACAGTAGAGACTAGAGAGAGGCTTAACGGTTAAAAAGACTTGGCTTCAAAGCCATACGTTGCTCTGCAAAGTAGAATTTCAACGTTTCTGTTGAAGAAAGTGGGACCCATTAGCGGGTGTCGGCTGTCCTGAATTTAACAGTAGAATTGCTAATTAATCGAATTCGAAGGGCCCCGCAGGAGACAAGGACCGTATTATTTAATTTATATTCCTTTAATTAATTGAATTAATCTACACTATAATCAGGACCGTAGAGCACATCAACAGCTGAAACAAAATTGTACTAAACTTAACATCATGACGTGGCGTTTGTTGGAATAAAAGATCTTAAAATTGCGTGGCCAATGTCATCATGCCACGTCAGAACTATATAAAACCCTATTCTGAATCGGCAAGCAGCGAATTTTTTATTAAATAAGTTTGAACCGAAATCGCCATGACCAAGAGCTAAGATGAAGAAACGAAAGTAAGCAGTAGCATCGCAGCAACGAACCTTAGAAGCCAAGTACACTGTCGCTTTCGCCGGAGCTACTTATAAGCTAATTACTCGCCCTCTTGTTTCGGCCGCCATTGACGAGCTTCGCGAAGCTTGAATAGCGATTTACAGAGCAAAGAATCTACCAAAAAAAAAAATTGTTTAAAATGTGATGGAGAGGTAAGAGAGAGGAAATGACAATGTGGAGAGTTGGATGATGCAGTAAAGAAGAGGTGGCGCTCTGTTTCTCTCTGGTGATTGCAGCGGAGCCGTCACGTGGCAGTAGAATGGCGGAGACGGTGACAGTTAAGAGACTGAGAGCCGGTTGTGCAGGATGATAAATTTAGAGGCGTTGGATTGGGGAGTATAGGTTGTAGTCCCACAGTCAATTTTTCGATTATAGTGCTGGCTACGTTGTTCAAGGCAGGCAATGAGGATTGGATGAGACACTTTTCTTTGATTTTCTTGATTTTTTCCCATTGTCCTCGCCGCTTTTCTTTATTTTTTAAATACTAACAATTCTATATGGTAGTATGTTTCAAAAGTAAAAAACAATCTTATAGCTTTTCTTTGTAGGATAATCTTATGGCATTTTTTAGTTTTACTTTTTTTTTTTATTTTACAATATTGTGCGAGGGAATTGGCACATAAACAATTAATAAAATTTCTTTTATAAAATTTTAATTCACCAATGGAGTGAAATAATATTAATGTGAATTTTTATTTATAATAGAAATACTCAGAAATCAAAACTTTTTACTTTCAAACTACACCTAATTTGTTCTTATTTCTGGCATTTATTTTTAAATGGTAAAGAAAAATCTTAATTAATAATTTTAATTATTTTCTTTTTAAGTTGAATTAGTTAGTTCGGTTACAAATTTAAATTATTTTTTTAAGAAAAAAGAAATATTAATATTATCAGTTAGTTGTGTGGTCATACATGGTCTAAGTAAATTTTTTTCACTATTAATTCATCAAAGACTCGGATACCATAAAGATATTTGATAAAAAAAATGTACGCACACTATTAGTGTATTTTTCAATAGTGATAATAATTTTGAGAATTTAACTAATTAAATTGAGTAAAAAAATAAATATTTTTTTATTTTATGTTTATAATTCGGTTCAATTTAAAATTATTTTTAAGAAAAAAAGAAATATTAATATTATCAGTTAGTTGTGTGGTCATAACATGCGTCTAAGTTAAATTTTTTTCAACTATAATTCATCAAAAGACTCGGATACCATAAAGATATTTGATAAAAAAAATTGTACGCACCACTATTAGTTGTATTTTTTCAATGTGATAATAAGATAATAATTTTGAGAATTTAACTAATTAAATTGAGTAAAAAAATAAATATTTTTTTATTTTATGTTTATAATTTATTATAAATGATTGTTTATTTATTTGAAATATTAATGTATTATACTTATTTAATTTAGTGTGTCCTAAGCATGTGGATCTCCTACTTTTTTTTTAAATTATCGTATCGGGTACGTTTCTATATCACGTGATAATTTTTTTAATTTATTTTTGTATCTTTTTTTTAATGAATAATCAAAAAAATAAGAATGGACTAAATTTATTTTCGAAAAAAACTTTTATTATTTATTTATTTTGGATATAAAAGAAAAATAAAATTAATTTTTCTCTATAAATTTATTTTTATAGTTTTTTATTTTCCTTAAATTTATTTTTATAGTTTTTTATTTTCCTTCTAATTTGAAGAGAAAATTATCGGAATTTTTTTCCCTTATATTCTTTTCTTATTTCCATAAAATAGTTTTTACTTATTAATATTAATTTAGTTTTTTCCCTCCTATATGATATTATCTAAATTGTTTTTTTTTCTTATAATCCGCACGATGCGCAGGGTAATATTAAAAGACGAAATAGTATTTTATAACATCATTCAAAAATAGTAAAATTATATAATACAATGATAAATTGTATCTTTTTGAAATCTGTTGAAAAGTTGTTATACTAAGTTATGTTTTCTTAAGTATCATGCAAAACTTTTTCATAAAGTATGCAATAGCAAAAGTCATGTATGATATGACCTATATAAAAAAAATGCATACACACTATTAATATATTTTTCAATAATGATAATAATTTTGAGAATTTAACTATTGAAATATTGAAATAGAAATTAAGTATGTTTTTATTTATGTTTATGATTGATTATAAATGGATTTATTTATTTGATATTACTTATTTAGTGTAGTGTGTCCTAAGCATATGAATGTCCTACTTTTTAAAAATTATTGTATCCGTACGTTCCCGTATCTCGTGTCTCATATCTGTGCAACCTAGCTTTGGTATATGAGATTACTCCTTGCACCAAGCTAACCAACTAAGGTTTTTTTTTTTTATTACCAATAAAATATAAGTTTTTTTTTTTAATTTGCTTGTCATTAAAATAAAAAATTAATTATTTTATTTTATGTTTATGATTTTTTATAAATGATTTTTTATTTATTTGAAATATTAATGTATTAATTATTTAGTATACTATATCCTAAGCGTGTGGATATCCTACATTTTTTAAAAATTATCGTATCCCATGTCTATACAACCTAACTCCTAATATATGAGACTGCTCCTTATATCAAACTAATTAACCAAGATTTTTTTTTATTACTAATAAAAATAAAGTGTTTTTTTAATTTGCTTTTGTGTCATTAAAATAAGAAATTAAATATTTTTTATTTTATTTTTTATTTTTATAGTTTGGGTAATACGGTATTGGTAATTTAATTTTAATTTAAATTTAATTAGTATTAAAATAAAAAATTAAGTATTTTTTATTTTTTATTTAATTATAAATGATTGCTTATTATCAAATATATCCCGTACGTTTCCGTAATTTTGTTGTTATGTGTTCCGTGCACTAGCTGCTGTATAAATTAAGTATTTTCATTTTTATGGCTTGGATTATTTGTATTTTAATATGGCTTGGATTATTTGTATTTTAATTTAATTTAATGCATTATCTTGGTGGATGTAACTAATAGATATTATCATGATAAAGACATTATCTAAAAATATAAAACAACTTATCTTATTATAATTGCTATTATTACACTTTATCTTCTTACAACCGTGCTAAATAATTATTATCCTCCTCATATTTAATAATTTCAGAGGCTTACACTTGGCTTCCATATAATGCAAACTGCTCTATTTTTATATATATATTATAAATTTCATCAATTTCAATTTAATACCTCCTTCATCCACTTTTACCTATGTTCTCTAAAAATTTGGAGACTCCCTAAAATAAGAGTGTAGGATTAGCGTATAAAACAGTTGTCAAAGCTGCTATTGGCTTGCTACAGACCCAATAAACAGTCAAACAAACTTACTAATTGAATAAATCAAATCTATTTAACAATTGAATAAAATCATTTATTTTTTGGAATAGTTAAAATTTCACTTTTTTCTGCTTTTGAGCCCCAAATTTGTGGATTAAAAATAGATAAAGGGCAATCTTGGTAATGATTAAGGTTAATTTTGTGGGGCTTCTAATAATACTAAGCGATTAGGGAACAAAATAATTAGATACTTTAGTTGGCTCAAACTTTTGGAGCGTCAATTAAGGTAATCACCCATCGTTTGGTGGTTTATCAATCATCCATAAATAACTTGTGGATAATGATGATTATAATTCATGCTATTACGTGAACTCGAATGGGTAGTTTAGTCATAAAGAGCACTTGCGAAGTGATCTCCACAATGCAAATTTTTATTGAGCAGGAATTAATCGGATTTATCGTGTACGGTAAAAATGGATACGCACCTGTGTAGAAGTACATCTAAGAAAATCATGCCATTTAAAAAAAAAAAAAATTGAGATTTCATTAATCCATGTAAAGTAATGGAAATTTTTTGTTCAAATATTGTTTTTTGAGTTTCTATAAAAGAAATTACATGTTGAATCCTCTAAGAATTTGTAAAATTTGATAATTTTCAAATTTAGATTTAGTCTAGAAATAGATCGAGTAACACTATATAAAATCAAAACAAGATTTAATTTAGAGATTCAAAAAATTACAATTCAAGCTTACAAAGTAAAGAATGATTTCTCCAATTTAACCAGAAGTATTGAAACATGAGAGCTACTTTTTATTATGTAATCCTTATAATAGTACTTTTATTCCATCCATTTTGATGTACTTAAGAGTAATTTAAAGGAAAAAAAAATTTATAAAAAGTACCCTTGATTTTGCAAATTTTCACTTTAGTATAATTTGTGAAATTTTTTTGGACAAAATAAATTTTTGTTTTCCTCTATTAATAATTACGTAATTTGTGTTCTTGTATTGTTGACACGTTAGACTTTAATTGCCACATCACACCGTTAATCCCATATCGCATTAGATCATAAAGTAACCAAACCAACATATCATTAGGAGGATGATCTAAAACATGGCACCCCAATGAAAAGGCTCCTCTCAAGTTAGCCAATCTATCTATCTGCTGAGAAATTAGAAATTAGCTTCACGATAACAGAATCAACTACAACAGAGATCACACTCCACTTCAACTTTTGAATCCCCCAACTGCAAGATAACTTCATAACTCTAAGTTCTCTTATATTCGATATATAAGCGCTTTATTAATTTTTTCCTTGTGTAAAAATATAGAAACTTACTTATTTATATATGCATCTTATTTTTGTATTGGTATCCTTTTTAATTAAATTTATATTTTTCTTCAGAACAAAAAAAAAAAAAAAAAGCTCTCTTTTTCATTACTCTCTCCAATCCTATACACAATGCTTATGGAAATCTTAAATTGTGGGATACTTTGAAAATAAACATCTCATGTGTATTTTCCATTTAGTAATTTACGTTAACAAATTTAAACTTTTTTTTTTTTTTTTTTTTTTTTTAAACTTGTTTTTTTTTTTTTTTTTTTTTTTTTTTTTTTTTTTTTTTTTTGAGGAAAGGAGATTAGCTCAAGTAGATAGTAATTCATTTTTATATCATGGTAAAATTATCTGTGTAACATCTGCACCAGATGAAGTTCTAATTTGAGATGTTCGTTTATCTTAGGCGAATTCCAAATCAACTAAATACAATATGAAAGTGATGTATGTAAGATGGACAAGTCTTAAACTAGTAAGAGGTTTTTTGAGAGTGATAGATCGTCTCTCTTAATAATTCTTTAATTTAATTTAAAATTTGTGTCATTGTGGAAATTATATATTTTATCATGCGCTCAAATTTTTTTTTTTTTAAAGAAACAAAACAAATTTATTAATGAGAATAGAAGTTTAACAAACAATTTGGAATTGAATTCCAAACTTTGAGGCTAGCGCTAAAATATGAAGCTGAGCTCGCATAATTCCTTGCCTACGAACCCATCGAACACTAAAATCAAGCTGACGCAAAAATAAAGACTTACAATCTAAAATATGAATCATCTAAGGATGAGGATAAAAGAGTAAACAATAAAACTTGTGAATCAATAACTATGGTGCCTACAGTAGATTGATTCTGCTCTAACCAGTCTAGCGTCTCACAGAGAGCTTGGGCTTCAACTAGAGATGGCGTGGACATCCCATCAAAAAGACTAGACAGCTAGCAAATAATTTCCTTCAAGATCTTCTAGCACCGATCCAAAACCACTACATGACAAATGAGGTAATATAGCTCCATCTATAAAACAATTCCAAGCACCATCAGTAGAAGGACCAAAGCACAAAGGAATTTGTTTTGCATGGACCTGCATCAATAAATTTGATGTTGAAGCAAATATAATGCCACTCATGAATACAATTTACTACATTACTCCACACTGTTGAAACAAATTCTTGGATTATGTTGAAGCAATATAATGCCACTTATTTTGCCATAAAAATAAATTCTTGGATTTCCATATCTTCCATGCATAAAAAATAGAATTTTTAACTTGACCTCTTCGTTGAGTGGTATAAACCTGCAAAAAGAAATTATTAAAAAATGTGTTAGTAGCATACCCTCCTATCCCACTCAACTCCCACACCCCTCTAGCTTTTTGACACCCCAGTAAAACGTGATCCAAATTCTCATCATGGTCGCAAAATATACAGCCCCCATTCGCAGCGATGCCACTAATAAGTCTTAATTTAGTAGGGAGAATATCTCTTAATGCCCTCTAAATAAAATCCTTAGACTTAGGTGGCAACTCAATATTCACCAACCACTCCAAAATCATCCCTGCTAAAAAGATTTTGACTTAAATAATAAGCACTCTCAACCGAACAATTTCCCTTTTTTTCATAGTGCCACATTAGTTTATCATCGTTATCATTAAAGCTCAAATGAATTGTCAACTCTTATGTCTCTATTGTAAACATCTCATTTATCTTAGACATATCCCACCTCCTTTTATTAGGAAGCATAAGTCACAAACTCGCATTCAATGCTCTACAAAATCACTACCATCATCAACATAGAAAGACTCATTTTTTGGAATCCAAGGATGGCTAGATACTCTAATACTTTGACCATTTCCAGCCCACCAACGAACACCAGCTCTCAACACCTCTCTAGAAAACAATATACTCTTCCACGTATAGCTTGGGTTACTCTCAAGAGATATGCTCAATTAATATCTCAATCTTCTTTTTTTTTTTTTTTTTTTTTTTTTTTTTTTTTTTTTTAATTAATATCTCAATCTTCTTTTTTTTTTTTTTTTTCTTTATTCTTTATTTTTTAAGTGTTTCCTTTGGTAACTTCTTTACTTTTTTTCCTTTTTTTTTTTTTTTTTTTTTTTTTTTTTTTTTTTCTTTATTTCTTTATTTTTTAAGTGTTTCTTGGTAACTTCTTTTATCTTTTCCTTTTTTTTTTTTTTTGTCAACAATGTTATTCTAGCCAGATGTAATGTCGAATTAGGGTGTCTTCTCTATCAAGATGAAACTCTTTTATTTTCTTCCACCACAAGAAGAATCTGGATAACTAAACAGAGTCCTTCCACAATTTGATGTTAATCTGTGTACGTAGAGAAACATTTAGATTGCATTTGTTGATTTGTTGAGTTGTAATGAGATGTAATATAATGTCATTAAAGATACGTTTAATGTTAGCATGCATACTCATGTTTTTTACAACCCTCGTTCAGGCATTGGGCAATAGTTATTTCATGACATAAGTGGAGTCTCATACTTCAGGGACTGTTCGGTTTCTTTTTAAAGCTTTGTTGTTTCTCTTAGGTATAAAAAAAAGGCATTATATTACAAATTTCATTATTGTCTCACCAACCGTAGCCTTTATTCTTTCTTGATTGACTAGAAGGCAAATAATATAGCCGAATTTCCAAGTGTGTTAAGTATAGAATGAAATAAAAACAATTTAAGGACAAATATATGCGAAAGCTTTAAGGATGTAATTTCTTTCCCTGTTTGTTTTTCTTATGATCTTTTTAGTTATTTTAGGATCTAGCTAGGTTCTTATTCTATCTTGATCAGATTACCTTATTATTATATCTTGAATCTTGATTAACGATTTTAAACGTTAATTCCCTTGTTTGAGTCTTTACTTTAATAGTCAGCTTTAAGATTTTGCCTATCTAACTTCATTTTTCCATTTCAAAACCTATACACAAAAACAAAAACTCTAAAACTCTACGCTTATGCCCCCAATCAAAACTCCAATCCATTCTTAAACAACTTTTCTTCTTCTTATTCCCTTGTCTTGCCGACAAAATTTCATTCACATAACACACATTAAGCTATCATAGTATACAATGTTTTCTTCAACAGAATTCCACATCGACATAGTTAGATTTTAATGAGAATTTCTTTTAAACAAGTTCGGCAAAATTAGTTGTTTTAATAGTTGTTAATTAATCAATTCTTTTTTTTTTTTTTCCGATTGTATTAAGGGATTAGTTACAGTATAGAAGCTGAAAAAAGAATGGCACATATTACAGGCAGAGTAAACCCAAATAAACTTCCGAGGAAGACTGCAAAAGCAGGAAAATATGCAGACCTGTGTTGGGTTCAAACAGGCAGTCAAAACTTAATTAATCCTTATGGGAATAGCTACCATTATCCACCACCAGGTTCTGGCAATGACCCATTACTATCAACAACCATCCCAATATTATGGCTATGGACCTTATCCTATCCTATATGGGCTTAGGATTTCGTACATAGGTTAGAGACTCTTTCTGGTTTAGTCTCTTATGGGTTATTAGTCTTTTTTGACATACCGACCCTTCACTCCTTTGGTGTTCAAGTTAGGGAACTTTGTTTTGTGTAGGGTGCTAATGGTTGCCTCCTGGTTTTTCCCATATTGGCTCCATTGTCCATTTACCCTTTTTCACCTGTGTTTGACATGTATGAATCCGAGCTCATTAGGATTCATAGAGAGTTCATAATTATGTTTTGTACTTTAAATATTTACTTTCTTCCATCATTATGTTGTAACAAAAAAAGAAAAGATTCAATAAGCTCCTTTGCTTGCCCATCCACATAAACATTCCAAAACCATTTGAAAATTTTGGTTCCGAGAAGCATGCATTCACTATTTCTTTGGAACCTTTTATTTTAACCACTTGACAGCAAAGTATAAAACGTTTGTGTTGAGCAATTGTAAAGAATGAAGAACAGATATATTACATATTGATGCGAAAAATTCACCCCAAAGTATCCCCACAGTTACATGGCTATACCATCCCTTACTCTAAGTTAAGAGAAAAAAAAAACACCAATATTTTCCTTATTTACATCACCCCATAATGAGACTGTAAAATATCCTAACCCCGCCTTTACCTTTCACCATTTTCCTCTTAACAACTCATCTCTTAGCTATCCCCCAAATTCTTGTTCATTTACATTAACAAAAAAAGGACAATATACCCATAATATAAAAAACCAACTCCCTCTCTTTCCAATTTACCCAATTCCCAAACAACAAAAGAAAAATAATAATAATAATAATAATAATTAAAAACAAAATTTAAGTAGACAAAGGTTCTTGGATGTTGATAGATGAATGTAGGGTGAGGAGAAACTTTGGCGAGATTGCTGCCAGTTACCTCGGTTGCGGTCTAGCAGCCGGAAATGATAGAGCTTGTCGGAGTTTCCGATGAGATGAGCGAGATGATGGATTCCCTAACAACATTGTCTGAGACTTGGTTACCATATCAACCATGGATGGAGTTTGGTAAGCTTGTAGAAGGCTCGTACTATTAGTGGAATCACCTCTTGCAGTTGCTCTCTGCCATGAGTGTGAGCTCAAACCTGATAGAACATATGCTCTTCCAGATGACTCATAGACTTGTCGGCTTGCCATCCTTTCTTGCATCTCCTTTAACTCAGCACATAATGCAACACACAATCTGTCACCAGCCTGTGCAGATGGAGTTTCTGACAATGACTTGTAACAGCTATCCAATACGGAGACTGCACGGGCTAGATCTCCATTTTCAGCAGCAACTCTAGCTTCTGACATTGATTCTGCTGCATGAAGCCTATTCCTTTGCCTATCTACTTCCATGGACACCACTTGTGATCCAATTATTTCAGGCCTTAGTATATTTACTTCACTAGCTCTCTCTAAAGTCACCACATTTTTTGTAAGCGGCTCTTTGTACACACATCCAACTTTCAACAATGACATTGTATCACTAAACCTATCAATTGGAATATTGACTGTCACCAAAAAATCCCTTTCTTCCTCAGCATACAAATCTCCAACATCAACAGAACCCATTCTAGCATTGCCAACAATGTTGGTTTGATAACTGCCTGCTTTCATAGAACTAATTTTCAAACTTGGGTGAACACATTCAACTTTGACCTGTAGCTCCTGCACTACCACACTTAATAGCCCTCCAATGCATTGTGCAAATGCATCTTGAATCACACCCTCTGCTTCTATGAATGAAAATGTGCCCCCAGATAGCTCAGAAATTGAATGCATTGAGGCTGCATCATGATCTGCACCAAACCCAAATGAATGCACAGGAATTTGGAAGCCGATACCACCATTCCGTTGAATTGATTTTGGCAGAAGAGACTTGTTAGCTGTTCTCGAATGTGTACCACTTGGACTAGTGACAGTATATGTATCCTGCCCATCAGATAATAAAATGATACTGGCAACTGGATTCTTCCACTTTCGATCTACTATCACCTTGGCACCTTTCCTTAAGCCTTCAGCAATATTTGTTCCACCGTTAGAGGTCAAAGAATTAACAGCCTGTAATGCCTCCTGCCTTCCAGTCTCATTCATACGTTGAAGATGAAAAAGGCGACGGGCTGTGGATGAGAAGGCAATGACAGAGAGTCTATCAGAGGGGCCAAGATTCTGTATAACAAACCCCATCGCTCGTTTTAGCAAAGCAAGCTTTGTACCCGCCATGCTGCCACTAACATCAAGTACTGTAACAAGGTCAACAGGAGCACGAGAATTTTGTTGTGGCAATTCAGCAAAATCAGTGCTGCTATTACACCTTCCACTTTTAACAGGAGCCTTAAGATGTACTAGTACTGTGAAATTATCATGAAAGGCTGATCTTGAAACAGCTGAAACTTCTGGATATGTTTTGACCTCTATTTTTCTCATGGAACTGGTATCAGCATTACTTTTAATAGGCATGTTTCTCTCACCAACCTCACCATGCTGATCTAAGGTCTCATCATCATCAAACATAGAAGGTTCTGGAGCATGATAAAATGATGAAATATGCCGGTTTGAATCTGGCCGAGCAGGAGGCAGCCGTCTTAGAACAGTCATCCAGGCATCATCTCTGGCAGGCCAACCAACTGAATTATTTCTTGGCCTTCCATGTGAAATGTCAGTAGTCGGGTTTTGAAAGGGAACTTCTTTCCAGTTTGCTCTGCAAACTGGGCATACCTGGTTCCCATGCTTTACATTAGACGTAATACAATGGAAGTGGAAAGAGTGCGAGCATTCAGCTGTAAAAATGGCATGGCCCTGTCCTGGTTTCATGGTGGTCAGGCATATTGGACAAGTATTCTGCAGTTTGAAAATGTAAAGCTGGTTAGAAAGAAAGATCCACTGGCATTTCATATACAATAACATATACACACAGTTTAAGGTGCAACACAAAGGTAAACATTGTTTTTGAGTAAAGAAAGCAGTCTCATCAGCTACCAGAGGCGTGTTATGTATTTGAAAGTTGAAACCCTTGAGAGAGATTTTCATGCAAGTCTCACAGATCACAAGAGATACATTTTTCTCTTTGAAGTATTTAATCCTAAATGTTCAAAAATATGCTGTAAGAAAATGACAACCAAAGAACAGTATCACAGATTAGAAGGGAAAATGGCAATATTGATTAATATGAAACTCAATAAATGATTTTGCAACTTGAAGAACATCTGATCTGTTAGTTAACACTTCTGGCATGCTTGCTTATAAACACACAAATTAAGAAGTCCAGCAAATTGATTTCAATTACAATGTGATTATTGCCGAGGACTGCATTCCTCGGTGTATGACTAAAATTGAAAGGGAATGTTATATTCAGTTCCAACAAGATGACAACCCACATTATCTAAGACATCAAAGTAAACTCAAGGAATACCAAATAATAAAAACTCTAAATAGTAATAAATCAAAAGAAGGATAGGGCATCAATAATATATATTTAATCCTCAGCGCAGCTCAGTTAGATTGGATAATTATATCAGAAATCCTAATCTTTAGAAGAGCAGCACTGTAACTAATGTGTTCTCCAGAAAGTAAGAGGAAGGCCACAGTCATATCTGCCTGCATGCTTCATGAAGTGCCTTAATCTAAGTTCTTAATTCAAGATGTAATTGATTTTAGATATCACCCCAACTTCTATGACTTTGAATTTATCAATACTTGAGCAAAATAAAACATTGAAGTCAGACTTGGATCCACATTGAACTAGTTTAAAATTCAAATGCCAACATGGTGTCTAATGTTGACCTCTGTCTCAATGCAGCTCATTATAGAGAATGGTGCGCAAAAAGAAGATATAGAACCATATGTCACTAGGTCAAAATATTTCGCAAAGATGATTTTCCAAAATAATAAGGCATACCAGTAAAACAGCTAATCAATTAAGAAATTGTCAACATTAGGTGGTCAAAGTTTTGCAAAGTATAATGCCAAATTGTTAACATTCAAAGTAGGAGACTTTTCAATAGTAGAGAATAATCAAAGATCCCTTAATAATGATACTTTAAATATAACAAAACACTAATAAAAAAATCATCAAAAGAAGGGAACGTTATGGGGTTGCTTCAGAATTTGTTTTTTAAGTTTTAGGAGTCAAAGCTTTGCTAAAGAATAATGGCAAATTATCAACAATCAAGGAGGAGACTTTTCAAAAGAAAAGAATAATAAATTAGCCTTAAACAAATCAATGATGAAGCTTTTTCAAGATAATAATCCAAAAAACAAATATATATGTACAGCTCATCAAAAGAAGGGAAAATAATGGGTTTGCTCCAGAATTGTCTATATTTTTTATTTTTACAGTTCTTTAATTCCCCAACTTTTTTCTCTCTTCAAGTTTATTGCAAGAAAGCTCCCAATCAACGGTCCACAGGCTTTTCTAAAATTACCATCAAAAGCAGAGAGAGAGAGACAGAGATGGATATAGGTGTATGTGGAATAGCAAAGTAGTGCTGACCAGACAAGCACTTTCCCAATCAAGGGAAAGGAAGAGGGGGCACAGCAACAAAACTAGAGAGTGGTAGTGTAATACTTTTCATATAAGCCAAAGTGAAAAATGGTCCTTAAAGGGACTATTCCACTTTAACTTCCCCCACAAAGGGACCTCAAGCTTATGGAGAGAGAGTTGAAAACTACATGACAACAAATACCCCATCACAAATATTCAGGAATCAATCACTCCCACTCTCACCATTACCCCACTCTTCATAAGTACATTGAAACTAGAGTGACAAGTTGAAAAAAAAATGCCAAAACCAAAAAGCTGGACACTGGTCAGTGATAAGAACTGACATTATAGCAATAACACAAATTTATTATTATTATTATTATACCATATGAAAAAATACAGATTGTAGTAAATTAAATTCTCAATGATTAATTTACATCAGCTTCCTAAATAAAAAATAATAATAAAAAAAACATTTAGCAGTGATAGAAACTAATGTTAATGAGTGGTTAATAAAATTTCAATCTTTTTTGATCCACTGATAGGCCTATTCATAATGAGGTAGTTTTGTTCATATATATGAAAATTCCTTGCTCATCTTTAATGAGAATATGATATCACAATCAAAGTACATTGTTGCTCACGAAAAAGAAGAGCTTTACACAGGCTCCTCGAAATGGGTTAAATTTAAAAATTTAAAAAAAAAAAAAAAAAAAAAAAAAAAAAAAAATTCCTTGCTATCTTTAATGAGAATATGATAATCACAATCAAAAGTACATTGTTGCTCACGAAAAAGAGAGAGCTTTACACAGGCTCCTCGAAATGGGTTAAGAATTAAAAAATTTAAAAAAAAAAAAAAAAAAAAGAAAAAAAAAAAAAACCACGTGATCACTCAAGAATATTAACGCCCTCCCATGGGAGATCACTAATTCAGTCGATGGAAAAAAAAAAAAAACAAAAAAAAAAAAAAAAAAAAAAAAGGAAATTCAAAACATTCTCAAAAACATAACATCAAAAGTAAATAAATAAATAGAGCCAAATAATAATAATAATAATAATAATAATAATAATAATAATAATAACAAGAAAACTCATATTAAGCTATTAACCATCAATAAAAGTATAAGAATCAAGTCAGTAAACCAAAATTAAAGTTTCCAGTAACGTTAATTCACTGAAAAGTATAAACATGTAGTTTCATATACCTTAGAGGATTTGGGTCCGGATTTGGACAAGCGGAGGCCAGAAGAGGACGGAGTAGGAGTAGTCGAGCCGCCGGAAAGAGCAGTGGCAGGAGAAAGCGAAACAGCGTCGGAGAATCTTGAAGGCAAAGAGGAAGAATCTTGCTCATGAGTTTGAGGAACGTAAAGGCACATATTAAGGCCAAGTGCCAGTTTTGCTTTTCTCCACTTACTTCCCATTTCTTTTAGATCTATCATCCACTGAAAAAGAAAACCCAAATCAAGAATCTTTCTTTTCTCCCTATCTATTCAAGAAACCATCAGTACTCATAGAGCAATGGCTATAGAAATGAACATTAAACATGTTTTTCTCCTTTTTTTTTTTCTAAAAAAATATTCTTGCTTTGGTTTAGCAAAGAAAAGATTGGTTTTGCTTGCTATGCTAGGCTAGGAGAAAGAGGAGAGAAGTGTTTTAGAAGAGAGGTTATAGGGTTGTGACCATGAAAGCGATAGAGAGAGAGAGAGAAGGAAAGTGGGTTTTTTTGACCTTTTGGTTTGGAGGGAGAAGATAGATAGATAGTGCTGGCGGTCAGAAGCTAGAGCAGCCTTTTTAGGAGATATGAGATGTGCCTGGAGGAAAATAAATTATTTATTTGATTTTTTTTAATTATTGAATGAAATAGGAAAACCTTGTGCTTATTTATATTATACTGCTTAATTTAATTATATATTATATATAATTAAAAATGTGGCCTTAAACCTTGCATTTTGGTTCTATTATCTTCGGCTTTGTGTGCTGGTAAAGACTTACGCAAATCTCATCCATGTTTTCATCTATTAATCAAATTAATTAAATTCAGTGTTTTTGATTATATATTTTGAAAAAAAATAGATAAAATTAGAATATTTTTTATAAAATTTTGAATTTCATTTATCTGGTCCATAAGTAATGACATATACTGAATTTAAGTAAGTCTTTTCCTTATTTATTTGAGGTTAAATGGATCAAGGAAGTAGCCCTAATATGTGTCCCAATATATCCTTAGCTACTATATTATTATTTTATAGAGATAAAATTATGTATTTAAAAAAAATGCAGAGGTAATATATTAAGAAAAAAAAAAGAGATAAAATCGTAATTTTTCATCTTGCATAACTAATTACTTTGAATTTTAAATTTTAAATGTAGATTTTTCTTTGGATAAAGATTTTATTTTAAAAATCTAACTAAATCAATATAAATCAAATTTTGAATTACAATCATCTGAATTTAAATATCATATTTATCTTTAAACTATTTTACTTAATAAATTAATAAATAAATTCAAAACTAAGCAAAGAGTGCATTATAGTTTTTGTAAATGTCGTGGTTTGCTCCTTTATGTGAATTTTATAAATTTTTATAGATTTTCAAATTTAGATATGCAAACAATTATTTTTCCATAATAACCTTTATAATTATTGATTGAATAAAGAGTTAAGGATAAAGAAAGGTAAAATAATTTTATTGACTAAATTTTAATACGCGTATTTTTATCAAACCATGCAAATAAAATGGGACGTACGGAGTATAAAGTAAAATAAATAATGAATAACTACTATAAATAAGAGGAGAGGAGGTGGTTGCAACTTAATCAATATCATATTAAACGCAAAATAAATTCCAATCAAACCAGTTTTGATGACTACATGCACCATTTTTTATTTTTTTTGGCACTTCGCACGTTACTTTAATCGTTATCTATAGGCATGTTGCAATAATTTTTTTTTTCATACTAGATGTTTATAATATTAAAAAACGTGATTTCACATTAAAAATAAGATAAATACAATGGCATAATAATTTTTAAATAAATATTAATTTTATGTAAACCTTAAACTTTAAAAATATTTGATTAATCAAAATATAAAAATTTAAAAATTCATATTTAATGATGTCTTTTTATTGATTTATGTTATTTAAATCAATATTAACATTTTATATATAATTAATGTGATTAAGTTTCGAGTGTTATTATTAGCGTATATTGATTTCACAAATATATTATGTGATCCAATCAAAATATAAATAAATGAAGAGGGATTAAAAATTCCTAAAACAATAAAATGCAAATAGATCACTTCGTAGATAGAGATTTATCAAAAACTTTGTCTTTAATAATAATTAAAGTTGTGTAGTTATCTTTAATAATAATTAAAGTTCTTATTTTAATATTACTTCTTACCAGAATGTACAAATTACTCCTATTTTTTAATCTTCGCAAAATGAGCCAATTTCATGTTTTCAATTAATTCTTTTAAAGCTCATCTTGCTTTTCATTCAATTAGTATATTATTTTAGATTATACTATAAATTATGTGAATTAATATTATAAAAAAATTTAAACTTTATTGTGTCATTATTTAAAATTATATAAAAACTTTATTGTGTCATTATTTAAAAATTATATATATATATATATAATATATATATATATTATAATATTATATTTATAGTGTTAAATATGATATATAAAGGAAGAATAAAGGAAGGTTGAGAAATATAAATAAATTAGAAGTAACAGAATAAATTAATGGAGTTGAATATCAAATTGTAGAAAAAAAAATACATATATTTATTAAAAAATAAATTTCAAAAATATTGACCTGTCTATATATATTTATTTGAAAAATTAATGTTTAAAAGAAACATCCAATTAAATTATAGAAAAATATTAAATCTATATATATTAATTTATTTTGAAAAGGAAATTTCAAAACTTCAAAATTTTTAATTATCTTTATATATCTATTTAAAAATCTAGTTTTTTTAGAAGAAAAAAATTTAACTTTTCTTGAAAATATTTTTTTATTAAAATTTTTTTAATTAGCTACAACTACAAATAATATGGATATCTCTGATATCACTAAAGATAATTTCACAAATCCATATATGTACTCTATATTTTCTTAATTAATATATATTTTTTTACTTTATAGTGTTATACTTAAACTCTAATATATAGTTATAGCATTTACAAATGACTCCTAAGTTAAATAAACCTTGATCAATCCCTTTAAATATCATCAACAATGTGTTAGCTGGAATGGTAAACAATCCTGCTCATAATAGCGTTGGGGGAATATTTATGCCTCTAAATCTATATATATATAATATATAAAAGTAGAACAGTTTGCTTTATATAAAAGTCAAGTGTAAACTTCTGAAATTGCTAAGTGTGAGGAGGAACAGAAGGAACCACTACGTTTGATTAATTATTAAAAATTAAAAAACCAAAAATAGGAACAATAGGGACCACAATTAAATTTTGACTAATAATTAATTAAATAAGTAATATATTAATATTTCAAATAAATAAACAGTCATTTATAATAAATTATAAATAAAAAATTAAAAAATAAATTTCTTATTTCAATTACATAAAAACATAAAAAATAAATTTCTTATTTCAATTACATAAAAACAAATTTAAAAAAGAAAACACTTCATTTTTTATTGATAATAAAAATTTTTGATTTTTTAGCTTTATGTGTAGAGTAATCTCATATAGCATGAGCTATGTTGCATGAATACAGGACACGAGATACAAGAACATACAGAGACGACAATTTTTAAAAAGTAGGATATCCATATGTTTAGAATACACTACACTTAATATTTCAAATAAATAAGTAATACGTTAATATTTCAAATAAATAAACAACAATTTAAATGATACAAAAATAAATTAAAAAAAACAAACTTCATTTTTTATTGGTAATAAAAAAAACATTGGTTGATTAGCTCGGTGTATGGAGTAATCTCATATATCATGAGATAGGTTGCATGAACATGTGACACAAGATACGATAATTTTAAAAAAATTAGGACATTTACACTCTTAGAACATACAATACTAAATAAGTAATATATTAACATTTCAAATAAATAAGCAATCATTTATAATAAATCATGAAGATAAAATATACTTGATTTCTTATTTTAATGACACAAAAATATATTTTAAACAAAACACTTCATTGTTTATTGGTAATAAGAAAAAACATTTGATTGATTAGCTTGGTGTATGAACTAGTCTCATATACCAAGAGCTAAGTTGCACGGACACGGGACACGAGATACATGAATATACGGTATACAACAATTTTTAAAAAAGGTTGAACATCCGCTCACTTAGTACACGCTATACTAAATAAGTAAATTCATTAATATTTCAAATAAATAAACAATCATTTACAATAAATTATAAACATAAAATAAAAAATACTTAATTTTATATTTCAATGACACAAAAATAAATTTTAAAAAAAGTACTTCATTTTTTAGTGGTAATAAAAAGAAACCTCGGTTAATTAGCTTAGTGTATGGAGTAGTCTCATATACTAAGAATTAAGTTGCATGGACACGATACACGACATACGAGAACATACAAGATACGATAATTTTTTTAAAAAATAGGATATCTACATGCTTAGGACACACTACTCTAAATAAGTAATACATGAATATTTCAAGTAAATAAACAATCATTTGTAATAAGTCATAAACATAAAATAAAAAAATACTTAATTTATTATTTCAATATAATTAGTTAAATTCTTAAAATTTTAAAATTTATTATCACTATTTGAAAAATACATCAATAGATATGTATGCATTTTTTTTTTAATATATAGGTATACCATTATATGGTTTTGCTATTGGCATTACCTTATTGAAAAGGCTTCACATGATTACTCAAAAAAGACATATCCTTAGCATTGCGACTTTTCAACCATATCTCCAATGAAATACAATTTATCATTTTATTATATAATTTTACTCTCAATGAAATACAATTTATCATTTTATTATATAATTTTACTATTTTTGAATGATGTTATAAAAGATTATTTCATCATTTAATATTGCTCCCCACATCGCGCGAGTTTTAACACTAATTCTACTAAAAAAAATCCCTTTATTTTTAAAGGTATTCATTTTATTTTTTTAAAAAATATAATTAATATTGTTATTAATTATATTTAAAATGATAAAAAAATACCGTCAGCTCATAACGAGTGGCTTTTTTACATTATACAAGAAATGCTATAATTGCATTTTCCTTTGCCTCACGGCTCAACTGATATGGAATTTCTTTGAATCACTCAATGGAGTTGGTTTCAATTAATCATTTTTCTTTCTTTCTTTCTTTTTTATTTTTTTTATTTTTATGGATTTTATGTGTTTTGGGTATAGAAAAGTAAATTATCATATTTCTTCTTTCTTCTTCTTTTGGAGAATTTGTTCTTGGTAATCTTCCCTAACTTCCCCATCTCATGATTTCCATAGTTATATTTGTTATACTTTGTCAAATAATTAGGTTTGAATTTTCTTTTCTAATTTTATATTCTAATAATAAATAGGGTTTGAAATTTTCACCATTCCATTTATTATACTTTCATATAATATAATAATAATAATAATAATAATAAAAAGAACACATTGAGAGCTATCTAATTAGTTATATATATATATATATGCAATGCAAGTCCATAAGACACATTATTAATCTTTAATCCTCTTATTAATTAACTAAAAGGATTGC